CAACGAAGGGGGACTGCATGACGTACTTATCGTCATTTACGTGGTTAGTGCCACGCAGTACTCCAGTAGGTGATCCTATGACTCTTAATCATATCCAGCTGAATGATGATGCACGTCTGGGCGGACCTGTGGCGGCGCGCGGCCTGGGAACACGGGGATCTAGCGCTTCCTCGGCTTCTTCTGCTTGCAATCGGCCCTGCCGCCCGTGGTCTTTCTTGAGCGCGAGCTGCTCGATCTGCTTGGCGACTTTCGATCTTGGGCCGTGATCGTGACCGAGCTGGACACGCACTGGCTTCATGCCTCCGTTCAGGCGCAGCACCGTCAGCGCACTCTTCAGGTCGGCGTGGTAGTTGCAGGTCCAGATCCAACGCGCCTGGTCCTCGCCCTCGCTGTCGAGCGGGATCTTGCAGCAACGGGTGGCCTTCGCCACGGCGCCTGGGATCTGAACGTAACTCCCCCGCTTCTCCAGCGCGCCCGCGGCTTCTGCAGCTTCTTTGGCGTGGGGTCTTTGCTCTATGGCTTTCATCAGCTTCTCGCGGCCGTTGGTGGCAGCTTCGGCGATCCGAAAGATGACCATCTTCAGGAGCGCGTTTGGTTTCTTGTCCATGGGGCGGCCCTTGAAGTCGTCGCCCTCGCGGGCGGCCTTGTCTGCCTTGACGCGCTCCTGGAATCCCGCCTCTAGGGCTACCTCGACCATCTGTCCTTCCTTCAGTGTCAGCGTCATGTTGTCGTCTGGCGCTGCTGACTGGTGGGCGGCTTCGTGCTGGGGCAGCGGGCGGCGCATCAGGTACTGGAGCTTGGCCGTTGGAAGCTGGCGCCTCCCTCTCGTCGTTGGCGCTGGCCTCTGGGGCGCCCGCGGCTCTTCGTTTGACTCCGTTCGAGATCTTGGCGATCGGAGCGAACGTGGCCTGAATGCTGAGGTGGCGGGGCCGAGGGGTCAGGGGGGCCAGGCGCGGCGCCCGCGGGGTCTTGGGCCGCCGGCAGCGGAGGAGCGCTGCATCTGTTTCGTTGTATGTGGCAAACATGCGTATCCTCTCGGCTGATCGTGTTGAGGCATCTCGGGCACTGCAGAGATCTCAGCTGGTCACCCGCGGGGCCCGCGGGGTTAGCGTACGTCTGGTGAACCGAAAACACATGGTTAGCGAGGCGTTTGGGTCCTTGGCACATGCGAAGGCACTGGGGGCACTTGATCATCGGGTCATTGGCGGGGGCTTCTCCTGCGAGTATCTTCGCTTCGTCCTCCGTCGTGTATCTTCGCGCGCTGGCGACGGGCGCGAGGGACTTGGTAGAGCTATCGGAGCCGCTGGGGGGTCGGGGTGGGATCGGGGCCATTGAGGTCCTGGACGTCGCGGGCTTCCCGTTGGGCCTCGGGGGCATCGTTTTTTAAAGCTATTTCAAATCTTCTCGGAGGAGCCCCAGAAATGAATAGATTTATTCATGGCGGGGCCCCTCGAAGTTAAAGCGGCCAAACACCGCGGCCCGAACCGGGCGGGGGGGGGGTCGTGCTTAGGGCTCGGGGGCTGGTCATCTGGGTCCTCGAGCACCTCTGGGCCCTGCGCGGGCTCTTCGGGGTCCCGGGGCATTTTCTTCGTTAGGTGGGGGGGGGGCGGGTCTGGGAACTCGTGTCCTCCGGTCGGGGCGACGCTCGAGCCTTGTGGAGGCCGCCGTCGCAGCGCGCGTGAGCCTCTTGAATGGGGGGCGCGAGAGATAGCGAAGCCTGCGAGACTGCCGGCGCTCAAGCAGATTGAGATCACGCTTGCCCATGAGAGCCACCTCGAGGCCGTGGAGGAGCGTCGCGCGGGCAAGTGCGCGCCGCAAGCACTCGCAGCCGAACGCTCACATGACCTTTTACGGCTCGGCGGGCGAGACGGGCGCGCGCTGCGTTTCCACCCTGGTTCCAGTGAGTCGCCTCCTCCGCCGCCGTGCTATCGTCCCGCTGCTTAGCTCCAATGCGCTTTGCGCTAGGAGTGGCGTGTGCGGGGGGTGGCGTGCATTCTGACGTCGGTCTGCCTGGCTTGTGCCGCGGCTTTGCGCTGCTAGCTCCGTTTGCCCGTGGCGGCGATCAACATCTCGGTTGTCGCGTCGTTTGCCCGCGTTTTCCCGTTTAGATTTTTTCATGCAGGAAGGCGAGGAACTCGGAAACTGAATCAAACTTTTCGACGGTCGTAAAGGCGATCGTGTCATCGACGAACTTGATAGTCGACAAGGCGATCCTCCCTTCTCCCTCCATGCCCGAGCGATCGTGTTGATGTCGCATCTTTTTCCACTCTGGGTTGACAGCGACGTGCGCTTCGGGGAATTCGGAGATGGGGCGGCTTCGCTCGAGCTCGGACGTGAGGTCGTGCGCTGCAGTGAATCGCAGCCGGCCTCTCACGCCCCCTTCTCTGACGCCCTTCGGTATGACTAACTTCTTGATGGGCCGATTCGTTCTGGTGTCTCTCGGGCGATGTAGCGCGCACTTTCGTGTAGCTCTTCTACTGTGAGTCGTGCGTGTCGTTTCGTAGCCATCTTCTCGAGGGCGTCCCATATCGCATCTCGATCGATCAGGTCGAAGGCATTCTCAAGGTCAATGAGTGCTGCCAGTGACGTCCCAACGTTGCGCCAAGGCCGAGCCTGGAGGTGCGGCCGGGCAGGCGGCGTCGCCGAATGACCTCAGCAACCGCTGCTAGGGGGTCTCGCGTGGAGCGGCCCGCCGAGGCCCCGAACTGCGAATGTGATAATTTTGATGCGATCTGAGTTCAGGCATCATCGTTACATGAATAATCACCTTGCCGTTGTCGTTCATCAAGTTGATCGTTCTGTAGTGCTCCTTGGCGCGCTTGTCGTCTCACTTCGGCTTCCTGAGAGACACGGTCTCGCCGTCTTAAATCGCTGGGCTGAGTGTCCGAAGGCTTGGCAAACTTGAAATGCATGATGGAGAGCTGGAGGAGTTTCGTCAACGCATTGCTTCCATGGTTCAATGACCGATCCATCGTAGGGCGTGACAATGTCATCCCGACAAAACGTGGGTGGCGACGCCGGCTCAGGACGTGGGCGGTGGCGCCGACGCCGACGCGACGTTGAACCTGACGTGTCAGGATGCGGGCAAAACGTAGGCGACGTCGAGCCTGGCGCACCAGGATTTGCATTCTCGGTGTCGGGCGGGCTCATCTTGAGGACGGGGGCGCTCCTGAAGTTCGGCATCCTGCAGATGGCCCTCGAGACGTCTTTGATGCTGTCTGTAGGTGCCGATGCGCGTGTTGTCCCCGGGGAGGGGGCCGGCGGTCCACCCGCGCTGGCCATGTCAATGATCGTGCCGTCGAAGATGGTGCTCAATGCGTTGGCTCGGGCCTCGACCTCCTCCTCCGCGTCCATGCGCGTCCCGCCTGTGATTCGGTTGGTGACCGTGACGACACGGGCCACTGGTTTGGGTGCCAAGCGTCGGGCCACGGCATGCAGCTTGCGGAGGTTCATGTTGGCGTCTGCTGCCTTTGCCTCCCGCGCCGTCTCAGCGAGCCGTTGGCGGCGTTCAGCTTGTGCGGCTTTGGCTGCAGCCCTGGCCTCGCCGTCGTGCAGGTCCTGGAGGTGGCGGAAGGCGTGGGTGGTCTGGTCCGCGTGGTATGCCAGGCGCCTCTGGAGGTGATGCTTATACTCGATCAGCTCGAGAATCTCGTCAGTCAGCTTGGGTCTGGTGATCTTCTTCGGCTGGAGGTCGTAATGTGGCGCCGCTGCCTCGACCGGCGTGTGTTCCAGCGTGTTAAAATAGTCTGACGGTGGCGCTCCGAGGGTCTGTGGGCCTACGCTGCTGCATGAGGTCGTAAAAATGGGTGCGCATGGTCTCGATGTGGCCCGGGATGTCGCCGCGCTCGTTTCGCTGTAGACGAAGGTCCTTGGCGACGGCGTCGCGGTCCCATCGGTCTGGCTTCGGGTCTGGAACACGTTCGGCCCATATACAAGCGTAGACATGGGCCTCCACAGGTCAGTGATCTCGCTAGCCACCGAGTCTGGCGGGAAGGTCATGGAGAGGGGCAGTCTTGATGCCGTGGGGGCCGCTCAACCTGACGCATCGGTAGTCGATAGCTGCCCATCCTTCGCCGACATTATGTTTCCATATGCCGTTCCGCCTGTCCCCCCCCGAAACGTGTTGACGGCGGCCAGGTGGAATGCCTGGAGCAGGTCCACCAGGCGAGTGCCATTCACATTCGTGGCGGCATACTGGCGACGTTGGCCGGTGTAGCCCACGTATGGGGGGTGAGGGGACATGGCAGCGTTCGCGTCCTTCGTCATCGCAAGGGTGACTCGCTAGGGTAGTTGGTTCAGGGCAGCTCTACAGGCATCCCAGAGCTTGTTCTGGAACTCGCGATGTGCCGCATTCCTCAGGTGATGATCTTCGCCGACTCTGGCGTGACTGCCTTCGTTGTGTGGTGTTTATCCCTTCGACAAAAAACATTTCGCTCTCGTGGGCCTTCACGTGTAAGGCGTATTCCGTAGAGACTTCCATCCATCCAAGTCTGAGGAACACGAAGTTCTTAAAAAGGGCACATATACTGATTTCAAACGCAATGATACAACAATCTCGGCTTGTTCTGGTTGTGCGTGGGGTAAGTGAGAGTGGCGATGAACACGGCGACGCTGACGACGCACATGCATGGCGGCGCTGGCGGACGCTGGGGATACATAGTCAGGTCTCCGATCTGGTGTTGTACCTGGGACGGGAAAAGTTGGAGGTCTCGCTCCTGGAGCATTTTATTAGCGAAGGACTGGGAGAAACGCAGCAGTCGTGGCTCGACTATGCTTCGTGCCGTGGTACCACACCTGCCCTGTCAGTCTCTGCGCGCACAGCCCGTCTGAGGGCCCGTTTGCCTCCCCGATGCACTTGCTCCCTGGGGGCCGTCATCGGCGTAGTCAGTCACACGCTCGAAGTTCAAGGCCACCGTGCCTTGGCCCAACGTTCACCTCGCGGCGCGGGCCGTGGCTGAACTGGGGAGTAATGGACTGGCGTCGGGCTGGGACTTGCGACCCGACATGCAACACAGCACGCTAAATCTCACTCGAGCCGTTGAGGCTTCCGCCGGTCTTCCGTCAGCTTCCGCCAGCGGAAGCGGCCTCGTCTTACTGCCTTTTTTTTTCAAACCACTGCGCCCAGGAGCCTTCAGGAAAGGACGCTTCGTGAGGGGCCTAGATGAAAAACTACCGATATCGGCGCATTCGAGATCCTATATCGCGAACGATGGGCCCACGACGGGTGCGCGCGCAACACGAGCGGATGGGTCTCCGCCCCACTCCCACGCGCCCCCGCCTCTGCGGAGGCGGCACTGTGAGAGCGGCACCCGAACCCCCTCTGGGGTCGGGGGGCCGCTCCCCATCAAAACTCGCTAGCTCAGGAGCACTAAGATACTGAACCGAGAAAGAGGGAGGCGGGCGCACGGGGCCTGAGGGACGAGCGACTTCCCAGGCACGAACACGCTCCACCCTTGGAGCCTGTTGTACAGCATGTTGGTCATCCCACACCCCGCGCTGATCGACTGCGACCAGTCGTCTGAGAAGTCAAAGAGGCCGACGAGCATGGGATACGATAGTGATTAGATAGTCCCATCATCACTGAACTAAACTGCTGAGTCTCTGGCGTTTGAACAAGTCTGGAAGAGTTCTACACTTAGAACTGGCCGAGGGAGTGTCTACTTCTTCTTGGGCTTTTTGGCGCCCTTCGACTTCTGCGTGTCGTTTTTTCGGAAAGCGAGCTCCTCTATCTGCTTTGCCACCTTGGACCTCTGACCGTAGTCGTGGCCCAGGAGGATTCCTGCCGCCTTGAGCCCGCCGTTGTCCCTGAGGGTGGACAGCGCGAGCTTGAGCTCGGGGTGGTAATTGACGGCCCAGATCCAGCGCACCTGCTCCACGTCGCCCTCGGCCAGCTTCACCTTGAAGCACCGCGTCGCGCGCACCATGATCTCCGTGTCCTTGGCGATCGAGCCCCAGCGCCGGAGCACCTCCAGCGCGTCGAGGGCCTTCTCGGGGTTGGTCCCATTCTTCGCGGCTTCCTGCACGGGCTGGGAGCTGTTCTCGTAGGCTTCGGCCATGCGGAAGATCACCGACCTCAAGAGTGCGTCTGGCTTTTTTCCGAGCGGGTGTCCCTTGAAGTTGTCGCCCTCGCGGGCGGATTTGCCAGTCGCTATGTAGTTCTGCAGGCCGTTTTCCAGTGCCATCTCGATCTTGGTGCCGACTTTGAGGGTGAGTGTGAAGTTGTCGTCCCTCGCGTCGGCCTGGTGGGCCGCTTCGTGTTGGAGGAGGAGGCGGCACATCAGGTTCGTGAGCTTGCCGTTCGGCGTCGACTCGCTGGACGCTGTGGTGCTGTCCTGAGCCTCGGGCTCCTGCCTCTTGACGCCTCCCTGGACCTCCGCGATCGGCACGAACATCGTCTGGTGGTGTAAGCTCGGGGGGTCCAGGAGCAGGTGGCTCAGATGCCCGACTCGCAGAGGCTTGGGCCAACAGCGACGGAGTAGCTCGGCGCCGTCCCATACGAATGTGGCGAACGAGGGTGTCCTTTCTGCTGAACTTAGTGGCGCACCGGGGGCACTTCAGGGACCTGAGCTGGTCATCTGTTAAGTCCGTGGGGTTGGCGTACTTCTTGTGGACCGAAAACATGTGGTTGTCTAGGCCCTTGGGGCCCTGGCACATCCTGGAACATATCGGGCAAGGTAGCAGGGCATCAGGTGGAGGGGCGATTCCCGCGGCTATCTTCTCTTCGTCCTCAGTAGTTGTACTTCGCACACCTTTGAGTCGGGCCCTGGGGGCGCAACACAACCAGCGAAGCCACGGGCGAGACGGGTTCGGAAGCTCCTCATTCAGGCCGTGGGTGTCCCTGGCTTGCTGCTGGGCCTCGGGGGTGAAGGTCCTCCAGAGGTGTCTGAGGTCGTCCAGAAGAACTCCCAAGAGCGAATTTATCTCCTTGTGCTTGGGGCCCTCGAAGTTGAATCGACCAAAAACCACCGCACGGACTAACTTCGTGGGGTCATACTTCGGGTCCTCGGGGGCCTCGTCTGGGTTCTCCTGGGCCAAGAGCTCCTCGGGGGCCTCGTCTGGGTTCTCCTGGGCGCCGTACTCCTGGGGGTCCTGCTGTTTCCGCACGAGGTCGGGGAAGGCGGGGCGGAGAACTCCTTGCCACCACGCAAGCCGTCTCTCCAGCAGTGTAGAGGCCACTGTGTACACCCTGGTGCGCTGACGGATCTCAGAATTGCTCACATGATGTACGTGTGCAGGAGAACGAGCAAGGAACCTCAACTTCCGTGTTTGCCAATTTTCTAGACGAGTGAGGTCACGCTTGGTAAGGACTGCGACTTCAAGGCCGTGCAGAGTAGACGAGCGTACCAGAGAGCACCACAACCGAACTCTAAGTCGGACACTGAATTGGCACTTGAAAGCACGGCGAGCTAGGCGAGCATGGGCAGCATTTCCTCCCTGGATCCTGTGCGTAATTTCCTCAACCATCGAACTATCATCACGTTGCTTAGCTCCTAGGTACTTCACACTCGGGGTGGCGTTGATCAGAGTCCCATCCATGGTCACGTTGGTTTGTTTAGTTCGGATCGTGGTTTTCCGAGCCTTACTTCGTCTTCCCGTGGTGACAATGAGCATTTCTGTTTTCGAGTCGTTAACTTTCATCTTCCCCTTCGTGATTTCATTCTTCAGAAATGACAGGAACCTCGAGATCGTTTCGAAATCCTCGACAATGGTGAACGCGATCAAGTCATCAACGAACTTTATGGGCGAAACTGGTAGGCATTCTTCCCCCTCATTTCCTGGGAGGAGGTGGAGGTGACGAGTTTTTTCCAACGTCGGGTCGAACACTACAGAGACCACGGTGAATTCTGACATGGCGTGGCTCTGCTCTAAGTTGGCGGTGAGCAGGTCGTAGACGGCGATGAACAATAGAGGTCCCTCCACGCTCCCCTGGCGGACGCCACGGGAGATGAGCAGCTTCTTGATGGGGCGGTTGGTCCGAATATCTCTGGCGATGTAGCATGTGCCTTCATGGAGCTCCTCGACCGTCAATCTCACGTTGCGCCTGAGGGAGAGGTGCTCTAGGGCATTCCAGATCTCATCGCGGTCGACCAGGTCAAACGCCTTCTCGAGGTCAATAAGCACTGCGAGGAGCATGCCTGGGATCGCCGTCTTGCCGAGGCGGGAGGTGCGGCCATGAAGTCTGTATCGTCGGACCACCTCGGCTACGACCGCCAGGGCATCACGAGTAGAACGGCCTGCCAGGGCACCGAACTGCGAGCTGGAGAATCTTGAGGCCAAGCTGCGCAGTGACGGCATGACTGTAACGTTCATGAACACCTTCCCGATGTGGTTGATCAAATTGATGGTGCGGTAGTGGTCTTTCGCGTTCTTGCCATCTCCCTTGGGTTTCCGTAGTGAAACCGTTTCTCCGTCTTTAAAGCGCTGGGCAGAGTGTCCAAGGGCCTGGCATGCGTTAAAAACTCCATGGAGCGCCGGCGTGGCTTCGGTCGCCAGCAGCTTCCAAAGTTCGATGATGGACCCGTCATGTGTGTCCTGGTCGGGGAGGTCGGTCTCCGTGTCTATCAGCTTGAGGACAGGCGCACTCTTGAAGTTGGGCATCTTGAGGATGGCCTTCCTGACATCATCTGGTGTGTATGAGCCGATTCTGGTATCGTCACGTGGAAGAAGTCCAGGGGGGGCACCAGGTACGGCCATGTCTATCACCGAGCCCTCGAATATGCTGCACAGGGCCCGTACTCGAACGTCGGCTTCTTCAGCGTCGTCCATGCAGAGGCCTCCAGACTCGGGGTTGTTGACCGTGACCGTGGGTGCGGCAGGCTTCGGGGCGAGGCGGCGGATGACGCTGTGGAGTTTCCGCAGGTTCTGGTTCGCGTCGGCCGTCTCCGCCTCCGTGGCTGTGTCGGCCAGTCGTTGTCGGCGTTCGGCTCGAACTGCTCTGGCGGCTTCACGATAAGCTGTGTCGAACTCGGCCTGCATGGCAGCGTAGCTGTCGGATTCCTGATTGGTCATGCTGGCCATCCTGCGCTGGATGCGATGCTTGCGGTCTATCAAGGCCAGGGTGGAGTCCTTCAGCTTGGGGCGGGTCAACTTCTGGGGCTGTAGAATGTAGTATGGGGCCGCTACCTCGATCAACGTGTGCTCTAATGCGTTGAAGTAGTCTGACGGGGTGGCGTATCTGCGTTCGTCTCCGCATTCATCAGACCACTGTCCAGACAGCAGCCGTTGTTCAAGGAGTGTCACAAATTTCGATCTCATATCCACTAGGCGTTGGGGGAGTTCGGCGTCGGGGTCACGGAGAAGGTTGAGGTCTTGTACTAGGGCGTCTCGGTCCCAGCGGGCGGGCTTCTCTTCAGGTCGGCGGCGTGCTCGAAGGCCGACGTAGATCTGAGCTTGGACTGGGCGATGGTCGCGGTAACCACTGAGGCTGACAGGTAGCTTCTTCAGCGGGGCCGCCCGCTTGCCGTAGGACCCGTGGAGCCTGGTGCAGATGTAGTCGATGGTGGTCCATCCAGGGCCTGTGGTGTGCTTCCATGTCCCGTTCTGGCGGTTCATCCTGCCGAACGTGTTGAGGGCGGTCATGTGGAACGTCTGCAGGAGGTCCAGCAGGCGCATACCGTTGTAGTTGGTGGCGGCGTACATGCGGCGCTGGCCCGCGAAGCCAACGTGGGGGGGGTTCGGCGACATGGCGGCGTTGGCGTCCATGGTGACAACCAGGGCGGTGCGGCGGGGGATTTGCTGCAGGGCAGCTCGGCATTGGTTCCAATATTTATTCTGAAACTCTCGATGGGCTGCAACTCTCTCATGGTGGTCGGTACCCATCACTGCGTGGCTAACCTCATTCAGGGGGGCGTAACCGTTCAGGATGTAGACGTCTCGTTCTCTGGGGCCCGCTCTTCGTAGTCTGATCCCTTGGAGTCGGCCATCCAGCCAACTGTGGGAAACACGCAGCTCGGAGGGTAGAAAGTGTCGCAGGCTGAATGCTATCAGGCATCCGTCACGGCTCGTACGGGTGGTGCGTGGCGTCGGGATAACTCTGTAGCCCTCCGTCGTCCACGGCAGCCCTAGCTCAAGCAAGGTGCTTTGGAGGCACACCACCGACACGTTGGCTTTGGTCGCTAGACGAAGTAGTTCTCCGAGGCGGTCAGCTCGAAGTAGGCTCTCGCAGTTGTAGCTCCAGAAGGTCATCAGCTGCTTGTGGCGATGAGCTCGTCGGGTGAAACGTGCATGATACTTGGCGGCGCTGGTGGCCGAGTCAGGGAGGTCAGCCGGAGGACGCGCAGGTGGTGCCCCCGAGGAGAAAGTGGAAGAAAGATGTTCAGCATCACCCTGGGCCCCCTGGCGTCGGTGATCTGAGAGGAGAGCTGCGGCGGTGGCCCTGGTGTACTTCTTGCCACGATACCACACCACTCCGAGCAGGTATAGAGCACGAGCGGCTCGTCGAAGAGCCCGTTTGCCTCCCCAGTGCACTTGCTCCCTGGAGGCCGTATTCGGCATGGTGAAGCTGATCTCCAGGTCCAGGACCCGCGTGCCAGGGTCCAGCGCTCACCTCACCGACTTAGAGGTCGTTGGTGTTCCCGCCCCTGGGCGCCGCTCCGCATGGGCCGCGCACGCGCGGAGGGGAGGTGTCGAGTGATTCGGTCGGGCTGGGAGTTGCGACCCAGCACGCCCTGAGCGTGCAAAGAATCCTTCGAGCCGTCGAGGCTTCGTCTTACTGCCGCCAGCTTCCGCCGACATTCCGCCACGGAGCAGATGGCAACCCCTTCGATCCTCGGAAACAGTGCTTTTCCTGGAACGCTATCCGCAGCAGTGTCTTCAGCACGTGGGGTGCCTCGGATATCCTGCAATTCTGAAAGCTCGGTGAAAGCTTTGTAGGGTTCTTGGGGGCCGGGCCACGAAATTCCCAACAATTCTTGGACGCTCGAACGGACCCTCGGGGCGGTGACCCCGCCCCAAAACGACACGAAAAAACCCCAAAGTTTCCTGAGAAGCGCCCAAGATGGTCCAAGGAGACGACCCCTGCATGCCCCAATTCTGCCCACGACGCCCTCCTGAGAACCCAAGGGGCTCCCAGGAACCCCCAAGAGAGGTCCAAGAGACGCTCAAGAGGGCCCCGACAGGCTAGACTTATTGATTTTCAAATTGTTCTTTGTTGGCGCAACCGATTTTAACGGCGTTCTCGCAGTTTCGGGCTTCCGACGCTTCAAGGCGGCCCATGAGGCCCCAAAATCGTTCCAAGACGGCCCAATATGCCCCCGCCAAACGGCCCAAGCCAATAGGCCCCCAAGAGAGAGACCTCGAACTGCCGTGTCGCGCCCTCCGCCCCCATGTGTACCCCGAGACTGCCACCAGGCCCCCCAAACGCCCCCCAAAGGGCCCCCTAGAAACCCCAAAAGGCCCCCAAGAGGTCCTCGCATGCCTCGTGAGGTCCCAGGTGGCCTTTGGAAACCAAGCATGAACACACAAAGTCCGAGCGTATCGCTTCTCCTTCTCCTCCTCCTCCTCCTCCTCCTCCTCCTCCTGCAATCGGGAAGCCGACGACATCCACGCACAACCACCACTGGCTTGAGTGAAACGCTGCGTGAAGGCTGGAAATTACTTGGGGTCTCGTGAGCCGACGAGGGGCCGCATTGAAGCCGCCCTGGGGCCGCTAGGCGGCTCTCTGGGACGCTTCTAGAATTCCTCTGGGCCCTCGCAACGGTTTGGTGGTGCCCCCCTGGGAGTACTGGGGAAACCTTGGGCGGCCTGGACGCTGAGGCGTGTTCTCCGAAATGGGTGATCCTCTTGCTGATGCCGACGCTGAAGCTGCGGGAGCCGCGTGCAATCCAGAGTGGGGAAACACGCCCTCAACCGAAAGAGTCCAGGGCTGCTGATCAATGCCCTATCTTTCTGAACAATGCTGGGCCCTCTCTGAACTATAAAACTTGTTCAGGCTTTTTCACGAGAGGGGTGTGTCTTTCTTTCTGTCTTACTCTCTCTCTGTCTCTCTCCACCCTGTCTCTGTCTCTGTATCTGTCGCTCTCTCTCTCTCTCCCTCTCTGTATGCATGTGTGTATGTGTGTATGTATGTATGTATGAATGTATGTATGTATGTGTGTATGTACGTATGTATGTATGTATGTATGTATGTATGTATGTATGTATGTATGTATGTATGTATGTATGTGTGTGTATGTGTATGTGTGTGTATATATATACATGTCTATATAGATATAGATGTATATATTCATGTGTATACCGATACGACCACCCTGCGGGTGATAAGGAGGTTGGGGGGTGGGGAGGGTCCCAGCAATGGGCAACAGTTGTGATTGTTGTTGTGACGATGCCAATGGAGAGTGTTGCGTCGCCGCTCGGTCTTGGGAGCGTCGGTGTCGAGTTGTTTACATCACCCTTCGTTCTTTGGCGCCTTGGTACCATTCGTCCCTCCCGCTGGGAACCTGCCCAACGGCAGCCAACGGCGGCATCTGGTCACAGAATACTGGAGCCGTCTTGAGGCCGTCTTGGGGCCGTCTTGGGGTCCTCTCGAAGCCCCCTGGGCAAGTGTTGGGGCACCGACGACGACGACGACGACAACGACGATCTCAGTCGGCCGGTCTCGCTATCGATATCACCGTCTATCTCACAATCGATCTCACTATCGATCTCACTATCGGTTCCACTATCGATCTCACTTTCGATCTCACTCGATCGATCTCACACTCGATCTCACCATCGACCTCACACTCGATCTCACCATCGATCTCACACTCGATCATCATCATCACCATCACCATCACCATCACCGTCATCATCATCATCAGCATCATCCTCAGCCCCATCATCATCATCACCATCATCATCATCACCATCACCATCACCATCACCATCACCATCACCATCACCATCACCATTACCATTATCATCATCATCATCACCATCATCATCATCACCATCACCATCACCATCACCATCACCATCACCAACATCATCATCATCATCGTCATTATCATCATCATCATCAGTCATCAATCGTCATCAATCATCAATCATCAATCATCAATCACCAATCATCATCACCAGCACCAGCACCAGCACCACCATTGATGCATCAGCATCAGCATCAGCATCAGCATCAGCATCAGCAGCATCAGCATCAGCATCAGCATCAGCATCAGCATCAGCATCAGCATCAGCATCAGCATCAGCATCAGCATCAGCATCATCATCATCATCATCATCATCATCATCATCATCATCATCATCATCATCATCATCATCATCATCATCATCATCATCATCATCATCATCGGGACACCGACGGGACACCGGCGGGACACCGCGGGGCCCCGCGCCCCGGAGGGGAGTCATTTGGTCCGGCCGCGCCTCAGCGACACGGGACACCAGCGGGACACCGGCGGGACACCGCGGGGCCCCGCGCCCCAGAGGGGAGTCATTTGGTCCGGCCGCGCCTCAGCGACAGCAGCTTCGCCTCGCCCGCACGCACGGCACGCACGAACACGAAACCGAAATCGACTTCCCGGTGGGGTGGCTCTCCGTTCCACTTGGATCTCACCCCCCAACCTCCGATATCCACTCTCTCTCTCTCTCTCTCCCTTTTTTTCAATCTCTCTCACTCTCTCTTTTCGAACAAACGGGAGAAACATAAACACGAGGTCGGAGCTCTTGAGAGGCCCCGCAGAACGGTCGTCCGGAGGGGCGGTACGCAGGGAGTTGTGTAGAAAGGGGCGGGGGGCGTCGCAAGGGGGACGGCACGAGGGGTGGGACAACTCTTCCTCCTCCTCCTCGTCCTGTTCCACCTCTTTCCCCTCCTCTCATCTCCTCCTCCCTCCGCCCACCTCCCCCTCGACCTCAGGCTCAGGGGAGGGACGGGGGGAGAACAACACCTCCTCTCGGAAGCCGAAGAGGTTGGCACCAACACAAATACCGGCGGCTGCGTCTTGCTCCTCCTCCTCCTCCTCCTCCTCTCCTCCTCCTCCTCTTCCGCTTCCTCCTCCTCCTCCTCCTCCTCCTCCTCCTCTTCCTCCTTCCCTCACTTCGCAGGGCTCGTGCCCGTCGTCGCTGCCGCCGCCTTCGCCCTGCCACTCTCAGGGCGGACGAAGAAGGGGGATGAACAGGGGCGGGCCAGGGAACCACGCCTCTAGCGGCCTCCAGCGGCCCTCCCGAGACCTTCAGAGCCTCTGGGCCAGACCTCTGGGGACAGGAAGGGGAGGAGGAGGAGGAGGAGGAGGAGGAGGAGGAGGAGGAGGAGGAGGAGGAGGAGGAGGAGGAGGAGGAGGAGGAGGAGGAGGAGGAGGAGAGAAGGAGGAAAGAGGAGGAGGAGAGGAGAGGAGGAGGAGGAAGGAAGAGGAGGAGGAGGCGGATGAGGAGGAGGAGAGGAGGAGGAGGAGGAGAAGGAGGAGGAGGAGAAGAAGGAGAAGGAGGAGGAGGAGGAGGAGGAAGAGGACAAGGAGGACGAGGAGGGCGAGCAGGAGGAGGCGGAGAAGGACGAGGACGAGGAGGAGGGAGGACGAAGATGAGGGGGAGGAGGAGGAGAAGAAGGAGAAGGAGGAGTAGGAGAAGGAGGATGATGAGGAGGAGGCGGCGGCGGAGGAAGAGTTGCCTGCCTTGGGACCCACGCAGGTCGCCTTCCCGGCGCCTCCCGGCGCCTGGGCGGACGCGAATCGAGGAACGCGCCCCGCGGCTGAGCTCAAACCACTAGCGGATCTTGAGGGAAGCGGGTCCTGGGCCCTGGGGCCTTTTCCCCCCCGCAGATCCGCTCGAGTCAGGAAAAATCACGACGGCAGGTTTTAATCATTCTCGGTCTCTGGGGGCCCTTACCAAGCCTCGGGACCGTCCACAACACGACTCAGGATGCAACACCTGTCCTGGGCAATGGGTTAAGACCTCTGGAGGTCGACGCCATGAGCAAATCATGACGTCGGGGGTCTGGACCCAAGACCACTTGTTCATCCTGAGTCGTCTTCTGACAGTAAAGGGGCCCTTGTAGGACCCCGAGAGCCC